TGACGCGCAAGCGCGTCAAGTCTATGCTACTCACGTTTTTCCTGCTTGCGCTCCTTCCTCTCGGGTTTCTTGTATTCATTCTATAGTATAATACATTAGCATGACTATAAACCGCTTGGCAGCTAGAGTGGTCAAGTATCTTTTGATTAAGCAAAGATTTTCCGAACGCACAAAACTTTCGTTCCGATTCTTTCTTAATAATACTTTCACTGCCGTCAATATTCTTATGAAAGATTTTAGAGTTAGTTGAAACAAAACTCTGTGAGTTTCAATATATTTGATTTGATGGAGTACTTAGATATAAATGCTTTTAATTTCATTCGCAGCGAAAGTGATGTTTTTTTTACTTCTTCGTGGTCATTATGCGCTCTTCTAAACAAAAACCTACTGCTACTTATATAGTTAACCTTTATGCTTTCATCCTTGCCGAAATAGTCCTATGAAATTCAAGTTATTGTGCATTTTTAACAAAAAATAAGCGAAGTAAGGTGAGGACGGCGCGGTCGCAAAATCGCTCCTGTCCCACGAGGTGCAAAATGCCAAAACATGCGATGTCGTCAACGTGTTAAAGCGTTTTGCCATTAGTGATGAGGCCGAAAGATCTCGTAAGGTTAGAGACGGCAGAGGACGGGAGAGCCTCTGCCGCTACAATTTCGGAGATTTCAACGATTAATACTTATTTCGGCGCATTGCAAGAAGGGGGAGGGGGAGGGGGCAACCTCTCGGGCTATCCTGGAAGAGGGCAGGAACTTCAGGCAAAACGAAAGCTGCTCACACACTCTGGAAGCTTCTCCTCACTCGCCTGAGACTTATGGGAAGTCCCATTTTCAAAAAGAAAAAGATGTTTTATGCTGTTTGAAGTCCAACTGCAACACCCCGCAGATATCTTGCACTGGCGCCGAAAAGGGTCTGTTACACCCGGTCGTGGTAGGTCGTGATAGGGTAGGCAAAGGGTCGTGATAGGTGAGTGTAGCATCATAGTATGGAGATGGTGACTTCAAAATTTTGATGAATTTTCAAGCTATCTAGAAAACTGGATGGAAATCGGCCGAGAGTAAAAGTGCAGAGACAGCTGTCTTGCAGCTCGGGTACCTGACTGTCACCCCACATCGGAGGGGAAGGCTTGACAGTACCGGGGAAAAAAGAGATTTGACGCCCATAAATGTAATAAGAGGTCCTTCCTAACCGTTTACGGCTTATTCATGAGCAAGACGATATAACGGATCTGGTCACTTCCGATTGCTCCAGAATGTTCCGAGTAGTACCTCCGTACAAACCAAGGACTCAAGAATACCGAAAAAAGGGGTTTCCGGAAATAAAATGACTGGGCAACTGCGAATTAGAGAATCAAATGACAGCACATTCCAAAACAACTCAAAAAGATTATAGCTAACATGGTTATAGCTAAGCAAGTCAGTTAAAGCGATGGAACGAGTTCTAAAAAATCAAGCCTCAGGAGGAGCAAAATGATGCATAATCTCAAACTTTAAATGAGAACAGCTCAATTCATATTCGAATGTTGACGTGAGAAAAGTATGGAACTTTTTTACCCTTCCATTTTAGGGCTAACCAACCAGTGTTATACGGAGCAAAGCTTAAAAGAGGATTGCAAGAAGCCAAGTACTTGTGATTCCAGCCTGACAGAGAAGATAAAGTAATGGAAAACGGTAGGAAAAACCGTTAAAAACAGGAAAATTGGTGAGTAGAGAAGTTCGCGCCAATGCGATTCGTTGTGGGTCAGAGATGTTCGAGCGGAGCACGCTAGCCCACATCCTTTGCCCCTTTTCGGTTGGTTTCAAATCCGCAACTAGGTGGTCTAATTTTGATGCCAACTTTGTGGTTTAGTGATTTTTGGAGTCGATTTTAGTTGAATAATGGAGTCGATTGTATACTTATTGGTGTTTTACCAAATTTCTTTGTTTTTGGAGCGTTTTACTCGCCAACCCTTCACAGCCACTTTATTGAGAGACCAGATTAGTCCCCCGTCAACCGCCGGGACCTTCCTTTCCTGCGCAAGCTTTCTATCCTCCGCTATGGTCCCTTCCTCCTGTGACACCAACACCTCGTGGAAGTGACGCGTATGCAACACAATGGTGTTTCATACAGTAGAAGGGACACAATCATGATATGACGGTAGATTTTTCGCTTCCCTTCCTCATCCTCCCTTCCTCTCTCCACTGCCCTCCAGCTGCCACTGCAGCACCATGTGGAATGAACGGAAGTGTGCTAAGCAGGTGTTTATATAGCCCTAAGAGTGTTATCACAACTATCCTGCTACAAAACATTGATATCTCAAATCCTGTAAGCTACCCGATTTGTTAGCGGTTTGTTTATCCCATGAGCTTCCTTCTCACTCACTTCATTTTGCGGACGGACACACACATACATACATACACACACATACAGATACACAAACCGACACACAAAGTTAGCGCTTTATAAAATAGAAGGATTACGAGCTTACTTCAGCATGATAGCGCAGTGACAGTTTTACACTCGTCGACCTCGCGCTATGTGAACTTCGTTGCGAATATGTTTTTGCTCT